CCAACAGAGAATCCTTCTTCTCTGTGAAAACCCTTTGGAGATTGCTACATCTCCTCTCAGTCATATTTTTTTAAAAGTAGGCTAAAATATACAAACTGTTCTTCATAGACAGTTCACCACCTTGGTAATTCTCTTCTGCACCTGCTTCAGTTTATAACTGTCTTTTTTAAAAACTGTCTTGTATACAATATTCCAAATGAGCAGAACTGAGTGGAACAATTACTTCCTGTGATCTGGACTCTGTGCTGTGGTTAATGCATCCCAAGATAGCTTTTGCATTCTTAGCAGCTGCATCACACTGCTGGCACATGCTTAGCTTGTGGTTCACAAGGACACCCAGATCCCTTCCATGTATTCTACTGCCAAGCCAGGCCTCCCCCATCTTCTTCTTGAGTCTTGCATTTTCCTTATTCTGGCATTTCTCCCTATCAAATTCCTTCTTCGCTTCTACCCACTGCTCAAGCCTATCTTGTTCTTTTTGAATCTCCTCCCTTTTATTTAAAGTATTAACATCTCCCAGCTTTGTGGCATGCAGAACCCTTTGAAGTGTTTCCTCAACTGACCCAACCAAGTCATTCTTTAACGGGCTGAGCAGCCCAGGGCATAGGATGCAATCCATCAAGATTTTCATATAACTTTTCTTTTAATAAGGTAAATGCAGTCTAGGTTGCACTGTGACACCTCAAGCATTCTCTCATTCTCTTTTCAAAGTAAGGACAGGAGGGAAGTTCAAAAGAAATATTAGAAAGCATCACTTCACAGAAAGAAAGGTGGAAGCTTCAAAACAACTTCCAGCAGAGGAAGTGGGTCAATCGTCAGCAGCTGTGTTTAAACATGCTTGGGATGAACACATGTCTATCATCTGACAAAAAAAAAATATGAAAAAAATAAAAAATAAAACAAATAATTAATTAAAAGGAAAAATGAACAAAAACTCAAAGGGCAGACTTGATGGACCACTAGGTCTTTTTCTGCTGTCAGTTTTCTGTGTTTCTACATAAGGACATTACCAGTCAGTTTTAGCATGTTTTGGCTAGTATGCCACAAGTACAACCAAAGCCCAGTGTTGCCCCAAGCCTACTGTGACAGATTGTGACAATAACCTTGGGAGACAGGAGGAAGACTCACAGCCAGGGCAACAGTGAGATTAGGGATATCTCAGCCCACAACAGGAATGGGGATGGAGAAAGCATCACAGAAAAAAAACCTCTCTAATTCTCCAAAAAGTAAAGGCAAAGAGAAGGAAAATGCTTTTAGATTTGCAAGAATCTGTTACTCTAGTCTTACAATAAGAGTACTATCAGTACTCATGGTTGGGTTTTCCGTCTGGGCTACCTTGAAGGGCTGACATCCACTTATGTTATTCTATGCACAATAGGGCCTCTAATGGAGAGAACTTCTTGTAAATCAGTGTACCTTTGCCTGAATCCCACCAACTAGTACAGTGATGGTGAATCTTTTAGATACCAAGTACTACATGCAGCATACGGGTTGTCCCTGCCCCCCTCGCCACTCCTGCTCACCCCCCACCATGCCTGCCCTGCCCTCAGCCTGCCCTGCCCCACCTACCCACAGGGCCACCCACCGCCTCCATGGCCCACTGCAATTCGCCCAGGCAGCCCAGCAGTGCCATGGCAGCCACGCCTTCTGCCCATGCTCCGCAGCATCAACTGTGCGCGATGAGGCACGAGGGTGGAGTTTTGTCCCCATTGTCAAACTGCCATTTCCTTGGTTGTGCTGCTCCGTATAGGCTGCGCTCGGGGGCAACTCTCCTCTGAGGGGCTACTGGTGAGGAGGGGGCCATGGAGGGAAGTGGGGCTGGAGCAATGGCATGCATGCCCACAGAGAGGGCTCTGAGTTCCACCTTTCGCATGTGTGCCATAGGTTTGCCACCACTGAACTAGTAGTTACGTGCAGCATACAGGCACATGCTCAGGATGCTTGTAAAGCAATTATTATTTATTTACAGTATTCACAATGTTTACAAAAGGTCACTTGCTAACAAAGTGTTCTGCTACCTTCAGAAAGACATGCTTTAACAATGTAATATTAGAATACCAAACATTCAATCAGCTAGTACATTTGCACTGAAAGTAGCCTGCATTATTGAACGATAAAGGCTAGTTGTAGAAGACTGCTGAAAAAAATATGACAGGTAAAATTAGACTCAAGCTTTAAAGATCAGCTTTTAGAAGTGGGGGGGGGGACTTGGCTCCCTATAATGGGGCAGCTAACTAATTTAGACACAGAACTTCACTGCTTGGCCAAGAGATGTATGTATCATTTGGATAGAAATGTATTGTAATATTGTAGTCATACTTGGTGCCAAAAAAGGATGATACATTTTTCCCAAATTCATCTGGTAGGCTACAAATATGTGAACCCATCAGCTCTGATGCTAACATGTTTTTAAAATTTGAAAGTCTTAGGTAAATGGCAGCATCTTACCAGCTTCTGGTGTTATGCAGGAACTTATACTGAGCCTCTTTACAGGCGTCCTTGACTTATAACTTCAACTGGGTTCAGAATTTCCATTCTGAGCAAGGCGGTTGTTAAGTGAGTCACACCCAGTTTTACAACCTTTTTTTGCAATGGTTGTTAAGTGAATCACTGTAGCTTTTAAGTGAACCGTATGACTGTTAAGTGAACCCAGCTTCTTCCATTGACTTTGCTGGTCAGAAATCGCAAATGGTGATCACCTGACCCCGGGCAACTGCAACCATCATGAATACATGCCAGTTGCCAAGTTCCCAAATTTTGATGATGTGACCATGGGGATGCTGTGATGGTCATAAGAGTGAGGACTTTTTTCAGGGTCCTTGTAACTTTGAATGGTGACTCAATCATTTGAATGGCCGTAAGATCATTGAATGGTCGTAAGATAACCCAGATTGTTGGGGGCAATGTAAATATATATATACATTGCTTACTGGTGTACACCGCTTAGAGAGTGCTTGCACTTAAAGCGGTATATAAGTCTCATAAATAATAAATAATAAATACTGATCTCCTTTTGCTGGCTGATTCTTGTGTGGTCAGTTTGGAAAACACTTGGCTGTAGTAATGTCATATAGTTAAACTCATGAAGAGAAGGAAGAGGAATTGATCAGATGGCAAGAAAAAATATAGAAAGAGCAAAAGAAGGAATTAGCTGGGGAGTGAAGCTTTCTGCTAGGCAAAGGAAAGGCCAGTAAGCAAGCAGACTATATCTCTATCTTTTTTATCTTCCCTGCCCTGCTAATAAACCGAGTTGGAGATAAGCCAGTTCATAAAAGAATAAACCACTTACGCACTCTCATATATACCCAGTGGTGGGATTCAAATATGTAAACAACCGGTTCTCTGTGTGGATGCCGCTTCTGGGCCTGGGCAACAAAAAAATTAGCTTCCGGTTCTGCCGAAGTGATGTGAACCGGCTGAATCCCACTACTGTATATACCTCTATACTGGTCTTGTCGATTTTGTAAGCAAATCATGGAACTGTGCCTTTAATGTGCAAGCAAAAAATTCAGACTTGCCTTAAGAGTATTTTCAGCTATGTTTCTTTGTCAGAGCAAGACATACACCGATCCCAAACAAAATATAGACACTGCAGTACATCTATTCTTATTGAGTAAAGGTCTTTGTGAACTTTGCAAACTCAATTGACTTTTTTTTTCCTTTTTGCCTGGAGAAGAAAAACAAAGGCCTAAATGATAATTGCCCTCCTTTCTGATAGATGAAAAAGACTGAACAGCTTGCCCTCATGTGTTTTAGATGAACAAAATCTTGGCAAAGAGTCAACTTGTATCTTTCAATAGAGTCTGATTAATATGATTACACACATATTTTTTCTGGTAGTGGTACATCCATGTTACCTAGAATGGATATAATTCCTGGTCATGAATCAGTGTGGTTTATACGTGGCTTAGACCGAGCAGATCTTAGATCTGCATGTAGATGCTTTTTAGGAGTTCAGTGTATAGTCATAGGTGTAAAATTCTCCTGTGAGCAAAACCAAGGAGGTGTCATAGATTGGAGTTTGGGGAAGAAGAGTTTTAGAATAGTGGATACCATTAGAGGTTAAGCATTAAAAAGAGAATTTATTGTTGCTATTCGAAAGTTACAATAAGATAATATAGATAGTCCTCGACTTATGAACATAATTGAGGCGTGTCATTTATTAAGCGGATCGAAATGAGACTGCTCTCAATTTTGCAATTTTTCCCCAGTGGTCATTAAGTGAATATTGCAGTCATTAAGCGAACCCATTGTCCACAATGAACGGCCTTAATGGTAGTTTCTGGCAAAAAAAAATCATAAATCTCAGTCATGTTGCAAATAGCTATAAATGCAGGTCGGTTGCCAAACATGATCACATGATTACGTGGAGAAGGCAGCTAACAGAAATTCAAATCTAGGTTATAAGTACGCTTTTTTGGGGGAGGAGGCTGTCATAATTATGAATGGTTACTAAGCATTCAAGGGCCACTTGTAAAGGAAAATATGTGCTGTCAGGTAAAATAACAAAGAAACAAAGTTTGTTTGTTTGTTTGATTGATTGATTTTTATTCCATTTTTATGACTTTATAAGTAATTCAAGGCAGCACACATACCTAATATTCTTTCCTCCTCCTCTTTTTCCTACAACAACAACCCTGTGTAAGGTGGGTTGGGCTGAGACATAGAACGATTGGCCCAAATCCACCCAGCTGCTTTTATTCCTAAAGTGGGAGTAGAGCTCATGGTCTTCTGGTTTCCAAGCCAGCACCTTAGCCGCTATACCAAACTAGTTTTCCTCTTTTTTTCTTGCATATTTTACATATTATCTACATGACTATATGAAAAGTTGAAATGCAGCCTACATATTAGCCTTGATTCACATCACCAGCTTTTTTCAAAGGAAATACTAATATGATAAGAAGCAGAGGAGGTTAAAATATTGATTTTTCGTTAGTAACATGTTTGTTCCTTTACTGTTGCTGAATGGCTGCTAATGATTTTGTTCTCATTTTCTGCAGCTGGACAATCCTGACGAGCAAGCAGCACAAATTAGGCGGGAACTTGACGGTCGACTCCAAATGGCAGACCAGATTGCCAAGGTAAGAGAGGAAGGGAGGGCTGCTTATTGGGTTTGAGTCCCCTCCTTTTTTTATGGCTCAGGCAGTGGCAGTGTTTATCAAAAGCTGCCTGTGTATTTGCATGTTGACACTTTCTGTCAGAGAAGCACATGCTCTCTCCGTTATGGGATCTGCCTTCTGGAATGAAATCCTCCAGAGATTAAAATGGCTTCCATCTACCCTAATAATGTTCCAGATGTTATGAAGATCTGGCTGTTCTCCCAGGTTCTGGGGCAGAGTGAAGGTTGAGCCCCTGATGGATAGATATTTTTTAGCTGCTCCCAATTTCTTTTTCATCTCCTATAATTTTTAAAAGGATTAAAATTGTAAGCTGCCCTAAATTATTGAAAATCGGATGGCCTATAAATTGTATGCATGTATAAATAAATAATTGCTGAGATATTTAAGGAACTAGAGATTTAAAGGCAAATAAATTTGAAGACCATGTTGTGTTGTTTCAGTGACATAAAACAGCCAGTGATGTTCAGATAGTCCTCGACATATGACTGTCACAGAACTTGATTATGAACGTAAATTGTAACAGTCGTAAAGTGAATCGACTATGTGACCAACCCAATTTTACAACTTTTTTTTCCAAAAGTCATTAAGTGAACACTGCAGTCATTAAACAAAACCACTGCTTGCTGTGGGGTGTTGAAAACTGAAAGTAAACAGTGGCTTTCAACAAAAAAGGAAATTGTAGTCACTTGACTGTGGGATGTGGCAACAGCCCTAAATGAGAGCCATGGTTAAGCTCCCGAAATCATATCATGGGGGGCATAGCCTTTTGGTGGGGGAGATTCAAACTTCAAACAGTTGCTAAGTGACAGTTGTAAGTCAAGGACTCTCTGTATACTGGTTTAGGCATTAACTTAAGCTTGAGAAAATCCAGAATACTAGGGTTCTCTCAGCCATCTCATAGGGATAAAATTAAGGGAGATCTCCAGGAAAACCATGCAGGTCTCCCATAGGAAAGATGGAACATAATTTAAATAATTAATTCTAACGCCAGCCACTTTCACCCCTTGGGAGATGCACTATGTTATACTGGGTCCTGATTTAAATTTGGGGAGGGGGGTATTATTTGTTTATATGGGTGTTCTTAGACTAGTCACCAGGTACATTGTTGTGTGACTAAAATGGTGAGAGAGTTTCATAAAAGCCTTAGGTTCCTATAAAAAAAAGTGAGATATAAATGAAATCAAAATGTAATATAATGGCATTTGAAAAGGAAATTGAAAATTGCAGATTAAAACAAAAATGGTGCTAAACATCACATGCTTACAGTATTTATTTCTTAACGTATCAAAGGAGCAGGATGTTACATTCTTGGCTGGTTTGTTTGAGAGAAGGAAACCATTGGAATACAGTAGAATATTTATTTGGTTTGGCATAGAAGTGCCATTTCTGGCCATTTGCATGCTTTCGAACTGCTAAGTTGTCAGGACCCGGGGCGAGGACGGGAGCTCACCCCGTCGCATGACATTTGGGTCCTGGACCTGGGCTGCCGGCTTTCCTGTTTTAAGTGGTGTTTGTTGAGAAGTATGGGAGTTGCAGTACAAAACATAGAGATATCCCCCACACAAAGACCTAACATGACCCTGAGAAAATGGCAGATACAGAAGGAGTATGCAGTGGTTCATGGATCCAGTTGAACTAAGGAGGATGAGAAATCGATATAAATAAAAATGTAAATGTTCATTTGTTCAAAATCTTAAATCTCCGAAAGTTCTTCACTGATTGCTTTGAAATTTTGACACAACGTTGCATTCGAATACACACATGTTTTTATATACCTACTATTATATAGATGCCACACCTGTGACAGGTAAAAACATGCTTTTTTAAAAAAACAGCGCCATCTGTTGGACGTAATCTCTACATCTGAACACACAATGGAACAACTAAAAATATTGTATACCCACAAGCATTGTGAAATTAAACATATTACAAACGTGCGCTTTCTCTTTTCTTTCTTTTCTGTTTAACCACACTGAGCCACAGCAACGCTAGTAGGGGAAAAAAATATGAGGGCCTAATTACATCAAGCATGGTGAGGTACCTTAGGAGGTTAGATTGTGTATTGTAAATTGTGAATATCAAAATAGCTGAGGACTCAGATATAGAATTTGCCAGGCATTCAGTACCTCCAGTTGTTCTTCTGAGTCTGTGTCTTAATGGATATTGTGTTGTCTTGATACACAGATCCTTTACTGTACCTGACAGCCCATGCAGTTGTATCAATTACCAGTTCCAGACCTTTCAGTTCATCTTCAAGTAGCACAGATATAAGTGTCCAGCCAAACTAAGCCATCACTCCCTGAAGGAGACAGGATAATAGCTTCAATGTTTATGTATCCTATTGGGGAGGGTGTCTTTAAATATGCTGTTTTGTTGGGAAACATTTATTTTAGCAAAATACTCCCAAGATATCCAAGTGAATCTTTGTAGAACAATTAATCAGTGGAACAACCTGCCTCCAGAAGTTGTGAATGCTCCAACACTGGAAGCTTTTAAGAAGAGACTGGACAGCCATTTGTCTGAAATGGTATAGGGTTTCCTGCCTGAGCAGGGGGTTGGATCTAGAAAATTGTAACAGCAGGCACTTCAGAAAAGACCAAAGTAGATGTAAAAATTAACACAGCACAGCTCATATATTTATGTTTATTTCACACATGCTAGCATGTGGGGAAAAATATTTTACACATTAATAATAAATCTTTCAAGAATAACAGAGTTGGGAGGGACCTTGGAGGTCTTCTAGTCCAATCCCCTGCACAAGCAGGAGACCCTGTACCATTCTGGACAAATAGTTGTCCAATCTCTTCTTAAAAACCTCCAGTGTTGGAGCACCCACAACTTCTGAAGGCAAGCCATTCCAATAATGAATCGTTCTGACTGTCAGGAAATTTCTCCTTAGTTCTAGGCTGGTTCTCTCCATGATTAGTTTCCATCCATTACTTCTTGTCCTGCCTTTAAGTGCTTTGGAGAATAGATTCACACCTATTCCCTTAGATATTGGAACACTGCTAACCATGTCACCCCTAGTCCTTTTTCTCATTAAATCAGACATGCCCAATTCCTGCAATTGTTCTTCATATGTTTTAGCCTCCAGTCCCATAATCATCTTTGTTGCTCTTCTCTGTACTCTTTCTAAAGTCTCAGCATCTTTTATATATCATGATGACCAAAACTGAATGCAACGTTCCAAGTGTGGTCTTACTAAGGCTTTTTAAAGCATTACCAGAACTTCATGTGATCTTGATTCTAAGCCTCTGTTGGCTTTTTTGGCAGCTGCAGCCAATCTATTCTTTTCAGCAGTAATAAGGTGCCATCCAAATAAGAAAAGCCTTTAACTTAGATTACTTCTTAACAATAAGAGTTCACACAGTCAAGGTTGGTGTTGCTTGGGCAAGAAGACCCCAACAGATAAGGGAGGTTATAAAATATGTAAATTATATGATCCAATAAGTAGATACATTATGTCTGGATGGCAAAAGGTCAGAACACTGGTAAGTAGCAAAAAATGAAAACTTCTGTATACATTGATGCCTTTTAGTGGCCAATCAGCCTGGATCTGGTATACTTACTTACAATCTATTGTAAGAAACCTAAGGATAAATAAATGTTTTCTCCCATGAGCTTACTACATTTCCTTCTCTTGCACATTATGCAGGAGATCATGAATTTATACCAGTCATTAAAAGTATGGAATGGTTGGACTGTTCCTCATTTTCTAAATAACCTTTTAATGAGAAATCTGTTCCGCAGCCTTCATGTCAAAATCTAACTCTTTTTCAAAGTGCCCCAGCGGAGACATTTGGCTATGTACTTGCCCATTCATTACAACAAAATTTTGCTTGGAGGAAGCATTTAATTTTCTGGCCCTGGGCACATTTCCATAAGTTAAAGACCAGGTGTCCTCAAATATGGCCACTTTAAGACTTGTGGACTTCAAATCCCAGAATTCCCCAGCCAGCCTGGCTGGGGAATTCTGGGAGTTGAAGTCCACAAGTCTTAAAGTGGCCAAGTATGAGAACCCCTGTTAAAGACTGATCAGTAGAAAGAGGTTTTATGCCTCATGTTGAAAACTGGAGAGGATGTAAAATAACATAGCAAAGTGTTATGGAGTGAAAGGTGCGTAGAATTACTGGTGGGAATGATTTCAGTTAAAAGTTTCTTAAACTCTTGGGCTAAGAGATTTGGCCACAAAGATGTTCAAAAGTTGTTTTTTAAAAAATACAGGTCATCCTTGACCTACAACCAATCATTTAGAATTGTTTGAAGTTACAACAGCACTGAAAAAGGGGACTTATGACCATTTTTTGCACTTAGCAACCATTTTAGCATCCCCATGGCCATGGGATCAAAATTCAGATGCTTGGCAACCGGTTCATATTTATGAAAGTTGCAGTGTCCCGGGGTCATGTGATCCCCTTTTGTGACCTTCTGACAAGCAAAGTCAATGGAGAGGCCAGATTCACTTAACAACCGTGCTACTAGCCTAGCAAGTGCCGTGATTCACTTAATGACTGTGACAAGAAAGGATGTAAAATGGGGCCAAACTCAACAAGTGTCTCGCTTAGCAAGAGAAATTTTGGGCTCAGTTGTGGTCGTACCTCAAGGACTATCTGTAGCCTGTCTTGAACAGAACCAGTCATCTTTTTTCTCTCGAAGTCTATTCTTCAAGATGGGAAGCAATGAAATGAGTTGTGCCTGCAGCAAAAGTGGGGTGCAGCACACATAATTCCCCAAGAATAACCTTTTTAAATGCTGTCTCTCAATCATCAGCTGATGATTGAGAGGATGTAAAATGAGATCATGCTTAGCAAAGATGCAGCCTGTTTCTTGGTGGGAGAGTTTGGTCAGGCCTTCGATCTGGCTTAATGTCTGCCTCGACTTGGACCTTAGGCAAGAACGATCCTTGACTCCATTTTATGAGAAAGATATATTTTACTAAAGGTCAAGTGAAGTACAATATGGCAAAGCCAGATCTAAAGTTCACATGCCAAATCCCCAAGCATAATTCCTCCCTTCCAGGAACGTCCTCCCTGTTGTCCTCAATTGTCTGAATCATATTCAAACTACATATGTTGTTGGAACGATCACCCTTGGGATGCAGCTACATTTCTTCGTAGGCTGTTGTCCTTGAATTCATGTCTCTAGCCAGCACAGCCAGCAGCAGAGTCCTCTTCCCCCACTTCCATTCAGTTTCCCTGTAGTTCATGGCAGACTGGCACTGAAGCAAAATAGTAAGGCGAGTGTGAGGTGGCATTTCTGATATTGGCTTTGTATGATTCCTTGATGCTTTATAGCTCTTCATGAATATTATTGTACATAAGGGCTTTTATCGCACAGTTGCAATAAAGGACCAAATGAAGTAAAGAAACTATGCAGTTCCTTGATCCAGCATCCTATTCAATGCAGCTATGTGTGATATCTGGAATTTCAGCCTTATTTGATGTTCTTGCTTATTTTCTTTCTGGGCAAGACTTGACTACTTTGATCCTTGTGGTCATTGTCTTGTAATACTCATGTCAAACCTGCTGGCTTAAGGGCAGACTCAATATCAAGGTCTGTCTTCTTTCTGCAGCTACTTAAATATTCAAACTCTTTTCTGAAACACTGCAGAACTAAGCAGAATGCTTCTGTGCCTTAAAAAACAAATGCTTCTCCTCTCCATGTTCTCTATGAGTTCTTCTCCACATTAGAAGAATTTCCCTATCCAAGAGACAATAGGAGAGATTTTTCATGCAAGGGGGATCCGATGCAAACTTACATGTAGCAGTTGCCTCAGGCAAATATCAGAGATCAAACCAGATCCCACACCTCTTCTGGCTTGTATTTTTAGAGCGGTGCTTCTCACCCTGAGCAGCTTGAAGATGGGTGGACTTCTTGAGGGTAATTTGGGGAGATGAAGTTCCCACTTCTTCAAGTAAATGGCTAAAGCTTTTGTTTTCACTGATCATCAGGAAACTTTACATGATCAGTTTCATCATTATCGGGTAACATCAGACATGAATGGTAGAGTTGGTAAATCTTATACTATGGGGTTCAGACATTCTTCTGGATTTGAACTCTGGGACCTTGCACTTTAGCTAATGCAACCCAGTAGCTTTGGGAATTATCCAGGCCCTACCGTTCAGTTAAATAGTGTTAAGGAAAGGGTATATAGAATCTATCAGAATATACAGTATAGCAGAGTCTGGATTTTTTTGTTTCTTTGAATTAAGAGCTTCATCACAACAAATTATTACCGTTCTTTGTGCAATTCTTTCAGTATTAACTAGTAATATTTTAAATTGCTGGTTTTATTTTGTAACAAATCCATCCTGCATCCATCTGTCTCACTCCTATGCATGGACCAATACTGACCCATTTTCTAAGGATTTTAATTGCTTTTGAATCTTTTGAAGTTCTATTCTTACCTATAAACAATTTCTACCTATTCCTCCATGCCTTGAGATCACAATATGCAGTTCACTCCACTTGCTCCTATAGGTACTCCTTGACTTACGACCATAATGGAGCCTGCCAATTACAGTCGTAAGTCGTGATAGTCGTAAAACAGGTCATCACATGTGGTAATTATTAAATGAATGTGGTGGTTGTTAACCAATGCCATAGTCATTAACTAAACCCATTATTTGCTTTGGGGCATTTTTGCTGAAAACTCAAAGTAAACACTTGTTTTCAGCAAAAATATAAATCTCAGTCTTCTTGATGCTACAAACAGCTGCAAAAGTGGGCTGTTTTCTGAGTGCCTGAAATGCAATCATGGACCATGGAGAGTCCAGACATCAGAACATCAGAACCAGGTCATAAATACCTTCTGGGAGTCTGTCATAATGTCATAAGTCAAGGGCTACTGTCAAACGTATAAAGCATAGAGTACGACTTTGGGGGTGGGGTGGAGGCACCTATACTTTAAAACTTCCTACCTAAAATCATACGCTCCCTCTGATCTCATCTACATATGTAGCAAAAAGTGTTGGTGGACTCTAGTTGCAAATCACAGGTTTTGGGAGCCCAAAGGCACAAAATGCTGAAATATTTCCCCAGTAATGTGTGTGGCCATCGGAACAGATGGTTTTATATGCAGAGCAATTTTGCAATAATATCCCTAATGTACAATTTGGAATCCACCTTGCTAACATAACATTCTGGTTCATCCTCATTTGACATTTATAATTTCCAAGCTTTAGGTAAGCGAAGTTTCCCTTATCTCAATTCATAACATAATCTAATATTCAAAATACACATCTTATCTGTTTGAATATAGTCTTGTTCTATTTCCTAAAAGTTATCTATTTCCCACCATATTAAATAATCTAATTAATAATACAGTATCCCCTTTAATAAATCAAAACCATTATATATATTGTCTGGGTTAATCAATAAATCAAACTTATTAATAATATTTTTTTCTTTTGGGTCTAATTTTTAAATATTAAACAAATAAAATCCTTATTTTCAACTAGTTTCCAAATATTTTAAATTTAATGACCAAAATTCCCCTCATCTCAACTTCTTCCTTTAACCCTCTAATTAGTAATATGAAATCCCCTCTAATAAATAAAAACCCCAATTTTCTTCAGCCTTATTCTGGCCTTCTTCCTATGCCAACTAGCATTCCATGTCAGTGCTATTAGATAATAAAATAGATCTCCCTCTATTGTTAAATATACTATTTGAAATAAGAGAGACCATTTATTTGCCATTTTTTTGGGAAGGCTACCACGGGCAGGCAACCTTGGCTCTTTTATGACTCGTGGACTTCAATTCCCAGAATTCCTCAGCCACAATTTAGCTTTCGGCATGGGTTTAGACACCACATTAAACCAATCACATTATGCCTTAACCCGGGGTAGGCAACCTTGGCTCTTTTATGACTCATGGACTTTAACTCGCAGAATTCCTGAGCCAGCATGGCTCAGCTTGGAAACCTCTCCCTTTCCCCTCAGCATGGCTGGCTCAGGAATTCTGGGAGTTGAAGTCCATGAGTCATAAAAGAGCCAAGATTGCCTACCCCTGGGCTAGCCCATTTGTATTCATTAAATCATCTCCCTATTATTCCAAAACCCCATGATTGTCCTGATATGTTTATCTTCCATTCAATCTGTTCTTCTTCTTTCTCAAATTTCTTCTGATTTATATAGAAAGTCTTTTCCATTTTGAGTGTTGTCACTCCCTTTCCTGGATTTCCCATTAACTGTATTTGTTGGACAATTGAGTCCTCTGTCTTAGTATTTGATTGTTCCACTTCTTCTGTTATCTTCCGCATTGTTAGTTCTTTGGTTGTAGTCAAAATTTGGGTTTGTGTATCTAAGCTGGCATCTTGTTCTTTTATGTTGGGTCTTATTTTGTCACAAGCTGAAAGAATGGTTTCAGGGAAAGGATCTTTTCTTGGTCTTCATCCATATTCTCTTAATAATGTGTTAAGTTGAGGACTTTAAAATCAGACGTTAAAAATATTTTTTTAACTAGATATGGGACCTTTATTTCATATGTTTATAGGTAGTCTTTATAGTAGAAGTCGTTTGTCAAGTAAGATTTTATAGTCTAAGATATTTCATCATCTCATATAATAACCAATGTTCCTCAAATAAAGAGATGGGAAGGCAATTCCCCACATATAACTCTGAAAGTCAGTAAAGGGTAGCCAATTTCCACAGTACCTAGCACTAGGTGCTGAAGTTCCCCAAAACAACAGCCCAAGGGTTTTTTTTATCAAAAGGTGGCACCATAACCACATGGTTATGCTATGGTCATGAGACTGAAGATCTGGTCTCGACTGGGTGGCACTTGACTCTGGGATGGGAATCAAGACTTTTACAGCTTTGAAGCTACATGAAAATTTCCTCCTTTATTCAGTAAACAAGAATTTAAAAAACAAACAGGTCAGCTCAGAATGAGCTCTCAACTTCTAGACTTTTCTTAATATGAAGGAGAAATCAAGACAAGTAACTAAACTCCTCACAATAAACATTAGTCTTCTGCATTGCCACTACAAATACCTATTGGAGAACTGAATTCAGTATGTATAAATATATGCAATCTTGTCAATCATAAATTCTTTTTTTTTAACTTTCCATCACAGGAGCGTAAATTTCCTAAATTTGTGTCCAAAGAAATGGAAAACATGTACATTGAAGAGTTGAAGTCCTCAGTCAATTTACTCATGGCAAACCTGGAAAGCATGCCAGTGTCCAAAGGGGGCTCCGAGTTCAAGTTACAAAAACTAAAACGTAGCCACAACACTTCCATCATTGACATGGGAGAAGAGAACGAAAACCAGCTCTCCAAATCAGATGTTGTGCTATCTTTCTCCCTGGAGGTAACATCTAGTTTTCATCAAATAAATAGAAGGGTGTTGTAAAAAAAACTGTTCAAAATTTGGATAACAGCAGATCAATGTCTTGGCAATCAGAACTTAAAATGGAATCCCAACTTTTTATAGTTTTGGCAATTGCTCTTTTCATTTGGGATGTAAGGAAGAGAGACAGCTAACTTATCCTTGGTCCACCTGTAAACTATGAACCAAGCTACCACCATATTTAACCATTGCATGGATTTTTAACATGAAAAATAGTAGATGCATAGCATAGTCTGGGAATATATTGAGGGAGTAATACCAAGTGTAGAGACACTAAGGAACTCACAAGAACCACAGGAAGGGCTTTTCACAGGCTGATAAGTTAGATTCTCGAGTTCTTAATTGACAGATTGTTTCCCACTGAATCCTGGGTTTCAGGCAGGAGTCTTTCCACGCTTTCAGAGAGATGCTGGAGATTGAAGCTAGAGTCTCATGGGTAGCAAGCGGGTGTTATACTTGGGTTACAGGATGAAGAGCTGTAGCAGGGAAGGTCAGAGTCTAAGACAATGCTGGAGGCCAGCTTTTGTCTGTTCTTGCTTTTTAAGGAAAATGTTTAAATTAATTAAATATTTAATTAAATAAAGTTAATATTCCAGTGGGATAAGGAGCCTAACAGGCTCTTAAAGGGGAAGTGGTTGCCTGTTGCTCTTACCAATGTTTTTGGTTAATGTGAGGATTCTAATTTCAAACCACAATAACAACTCCCACAACCTTCCAATTTACCCTTGTACTCCTACATGGTAGATTTTTCTATGCTTTCCTCAAAGCATTATAACTTGTGCTTCATTCTGGAATTGATTCCTGAATAAAGAACATTCCCAAGAGTCACAGCCTCTTTATCTCTCCTTCTTTCCCCTCCCCCCTCTCTCTGTCTCCCTCCCTCCCCCTCCCCCCCTCTCTCCTTTAGGTTGTCATCATGGAAGTTCAGGGTCTCAAATCTTTAGCACCCAACCGGATTGTATATTGCACTATGGAAGTAGAAGGAGGAGAAAAACTACAGACTGACCAGGCTGAGGCATCCAAACCAACGTAAGTGTCCATCTTCACCACCATCATATTTCCTCCTTTATTCCAGATATCTAGCTGGCATATCCAAGGAGCAAGGCCCTTGGATGTCCACTAGGCCAGGGGTCCCCAACCCTGGTCCGTGGACTGGCACTGGGCCGCAGCATGCCAGAAACCGGTCCACACAAATAAGTAAATCCCCATCCGTGGGATGCAGGCAGTACATGAAACCACAGCCTCTCCGGTCCGAGGAAAAACCTCTTTTCCCTGGTGCTCAAAAGGTTGGAGACCTCTGCACTAGGCAACTCAGATGACTGCAGCCCCCCCCCCCCCACTATTGCTTCCCTGGGGGTGTCAACTGGTGCCAGACCCGGATATCCACTGGACATATTTATTCATTATTTATTAAGAAAAATTATATGGCTGCCCAATTCACTCACTACAACTTTGTTGGTGGAAATACATTGGAATAAGTGAAGAGTGGCACCCTGGGCTGGATTCATACCCTGGAGTAACTATAACGAAATTTATTTAGTTTCTCTAAGCATATCAATTAACCAACCACCATAATATCTAACCTGTTTAGATAAGATCATTTTATTTTTTAAAAAAACATTAATCTTGGGGAAAAGAAGGAAAAACTGGCATGTTACTTGCAGTTCTGTCAAAAAAAGAAAATATAAAATCAAGATCACTGAACTCATTTTTTTTTAAATACATTTGTCTAAGGGGCAAGTGATTAAAGAGATATTTACACAATTTTGACTATCATGCTAAAAATATATCCTACACACTCTTAATTCTGAATGAACAAATCACAAACTACCATCTTTTCATTATGAAAGAAAGCCGAGTGATTGAGCTGGGTTCACACATCATGCTAAGCCTAGTTTATTTAACTGATAGATTGCTGAATAAATCACAATGGCTGATTCATAAAACACGATAAGCTATAAACCATGTTTATAAACCAGACTTGCTGGCCTCCTACAATTTATTAAGCTATAAAGCAGGATTTATAAAGCTCAGTGAGCGAATTCATTCAGAATACCATACCACACCTAAACATGCTTATTGTACGGCTTAACAAAATGTGCACATCCTAATAATAATAATAATAATAATAATAATAATAATAATAATAATAATAATAGTAATAGTAATAGTAATAATAATAATAAAGTTGGAAGAGACCTTGGAGGTCATCTAGTCCAACCCCCTGCTCAGGCAGGAAACCCTATACCATTTCCGACAAATGGCTGTCCAGTCTCTTCTTAAAAGCTTCCAGTGTTGGAGCATTCACCGCTTCTGGAGGCAGGTTGTTCCACTGGTTAATTGTTCTAACTGTCAGGAAGTTTCTCCTTAGTTCTAGGTTGCTTCTCTCCATGCTTAGTTTCCACCCATTGCTTCTTGTCCTGCCTTCAGGCACCTTGGAAAATAGCTTGACTCCCTCTTCTTTGTGGCAACCTCTGAGATATTGGAACACTGCTATCATGTCCCCCCTCGTCCTAGACATACCCAATTCCAGCAGCCGTTCCTTATATGTTTTAACCTCCAGTCCCCTAATCACCTTTGTTGTTCTTCTCTGTACTCTTTCTAGAGCAGTGGTTCTCAACCTGTGGGTCGAGACCCCATTTGGGGTCGAATGACCATTTCACGGGGGTCGCCAAACAACGCAGTGTGCCATTTTTTCCCCTTTTCCTTAGCTGTGCTACTCCCTTTTATTCTAGTGGCTTTTGAAAGCCAATAGAATAGACTCTCTTGAATAGAGTCTAATTCTATTGGTTTCCAAAAGCCAATAGGAATTTTCTAGGCTGTCTCTGCCCTGCTGAGCCCGCCAAAAGTCCCATTCTGCAAATGGTGCTGCACCAGTTGAGTAGTCCTCGACTTACGACCGGTTAAGTAGTCCTCAACTTACGACCAGTTGGGGGTCGCGGCATTAAAAAGGTTGAGAATCACTGTTCTAGAGTCTCAACATCTTTTTTACATCACGGTACATCTTAAGTGTGCTGTAATTATTTTGGTCTAGAAATAACTACTCCAAACTTCGGTCAATTTTATTTATAGCCAAAAGGCCAAAAACAAGATACCAATGCAATCTAAACTTGGATTGCGTTAGATGTAACAATTTAACAAGTAAAATGTTTAATAAATACTACATGATACACTTAAAACCCCAACCTACTGATAGGTTACTAAAAACCTTGGTTTTATAACCACAGTTAAACATTTAAATTGAAAAAAAGTATTGTATTGTATTGTGAATGTTATACGAGTCTTTGGCAAGAAGTTATCTGGCCTATTTTAAAATCTAAACAAGAAAGCAATACATCTGAGTATGTAAAAATTTTACTTGCAGATGAAAATCCTAAGATTACAGCAGCAACAGTTAGATGTTTAACTGTGGCTATAAATAACTACTAACCTGCTTAAATCTTACAGCCAATCCAGTTTGCCATAAACACAGTAAGTATTGGTTCTAGTCTAGTCATTTTCTTCTGTTTCAGTGTCAGATTTTGCTGCTCTTCACCCACACACATTAACATAATGGAGTAAAGAATAATTTTGGAGTCTTCAGATAAATCCCAGTTATAATTTCTCCTGCACACCAATAATCTGTCTAGGCACAAGTTAGTAGGGCAGCTCCTAGTGCATTTTGCCCCACTGAAATGTGAAAATATGTGAAATATAAGGTTGACCATGAGTCCCTATTCTATTAAAGTCTATTCTGAGGAAAAAAATAATTCAATAATTATATGTCTTGCAACAAGAAAGGTTCAGTGTTCTTGTGCTGACATTCAGTCTGTCTGATATATCATTGTACAACATTCCTGGTTTGGTTTTAAATGTAAAATTAAGTCATCTGTATGCTTGGCAGGATTTTAGTTAATTATTTGAATGGGAAATGTTCAAATATGCCAGTTTAATAGATTCAGTAATTGTATGTTGTGTAAAGACATTTTGCTTTAACTGAATTCTACAAAACAGATTTCAGATAAAATTGTCCTCTGCTCCCAAATCAGTTAAATTTATCTGGTATTGTTATGAGAAATAGGAGGAAAGAGATTCAATTGGATCACATTTTAAGGTGAACTTTCTAATTCAGTCTTCCATCTGCAATGAAAATCAATTATTCTTTTAATATTTGGACTCTTAAAATTTGATTATGTAGTCTTCTAAGTAAATATATATATAGAGAAAGTAAATATTGGTGAAAAATAATAGACAAGAGATGATATAATAGGAAAAAATGTATATATTACAATAATTCATATACAACTGTATATATAAGGAGATAAGACTATGATAATCCGTACAGATTTCCATTCAGTTTCATACATTTGAGCCAAACTTCCATTTATAAACAATGGAGTGAAATCTAATACGGCAATTTGGTCCATCCCTAATCTAGCACAATGTGTTTCATGGTTAAGTCTCTGGACACATTTTATTCATTAAATATTCAGGAAGTTCAGGAGTTTGTATAGTGTGTGTGTGTGTGTGTGTGTGTGTGTGTGTGTGTGTGTGATTTATTGCAAGTCCTGCTTTCCCAAATTCACCTTGGAGTGTGCAAAAGGCACAGTGTGCCATCTAATACAATCTAGGATTACCGTACATCTGGGTCCCCTTCCCCCTGCCATGCATCCTCTTTTCAATCTTTAAGTGCTCCATCTGCCTGGGAATTCAAAATATAAAACATCTGGGTTTCTGCAGAATGAAAATACATGATAGTGGGGTCTCTCCTGTTACTCAGAAGGTCTCTTTGTGAGCAACAGACAGGCTGAAAAAGGCAGATCAAGGGTAGAACAAAGGGAGACTGGCATGGTTGATTAGCATGCCACTCATTTCATATCTTCCAGAGAGAATATAGAGATTTCTTTGGGAATTGGAAGTAGAATGTTTCATAAGAATTTTGATTCTGAAATGCAGCTAAGCCCTGTTACCTCCCATTCTTTGTTTGGAACATATAAAGAATGCTTGCTGGAATTGGGTATGTCTAGTTTAATGAAGAGAGGGATGAGGGGGTGACATGAAAGCAGTGTTCCAATATCTCAGGGGTTGCCATAAAGATGGAAACTAATCAAGGAGAGAAGCAACCTAAAACTAAGGTGAAACTTCCTGACAGTCAGAGCAATTAGTCATGTGGTCAAAGATTTCTCTAGTCAAAGTAGGTAGAATTGTTCTATCCATAACCTAACTTTTAGGCAACACCTTTCTTTTGCTTTCCTTTTTCATAATTGTTGTGATTATTAATTTTGAAATTAATACATTAGTGCTGTTCAGGATATACAGGTAGTCCTCGACTTACAGCCATTTGTCTAGCCACTGTTCAAAGTTACGACTGGTCTTTAATGAAAAAAGCCACTAAAGACCAGTCCTCATACCTATAACCCTCAAAGCCCTGTAGTCACATAATCAAAATTTGGGCACTTGGCAATTGGCACGTATTTATAACTGTTGCAGTGTCTTGGGGTCTCCTGATCTCTATTTGTGACTTTCCCAGCTGGTTTCTGACAAACAAAATCAATGGGGGAAGTTGGATTCATTTAAGAACCACATGATTCACTTACCAACCAGGGTAATTCATTTAACCGTACTAAAAAAGGTCATAAAATTGGCTGTCCCTTAACATCCACCTTGCTTAGTAATAAGTCATAAGTCAAGGACAATCTACAGTTCTTGATTTGGGCTTAGGGAAAAACGATTTCCACAATGTCAAATACTGCTTCCACTTCGGGAGACATTTTCTTTATTATCTGGATTAATTTTTTTGTTTGAGCTTTAGAGCAAAAAAAAAAAATCCAATTACATTAGCTTTTGCTTGTTATATAGATTTTTTATTTGCTTCACTTTAGGGTCTTCCCTTAGCTTCGGTTCCTAATAACTTGTTCCACTGTATCTGTTCCTTCATAGCACATGAAAGGGAAAGAATATAAGCCAGGCAGTGGTGGGATTCAGCCAGTTTGCACCAGTTAAGTAGAACCGGTAGCTAATTTTTAGTTGCCCAGGCCCAGAATGGACTT